GTAATAAATGCTGTAATAACAGATTCGTATTTGCTCACAAAGAAATCGAGAAATTAAGGCAGTTTTCTTCTTGTGATGTGAGTATCGGTACCACTGCTCGTTACTTGTCGCCTTGTTATATGAATTGTTGATTCCAGCTTTTTCCTCAGCCACCTGTCTCAATTGTTAACTTTGCAGTACTGCATTCAGCTCGCTCCCGTTGGCATAAGAATACAAACTATTTGGAAAAAGCAGATGAGCCGAAGAAATGAAAGAGTGTACGCGAAAAACATCACCTGTATCACCCGTTGTTCTGATGATCGTTAAGTGACTCGGGCGGGAGCCAGTAAGTCTTCCATTCCTCCCTGTCGCGTGCAAGAGTAACCCAGTGGGTTTTCCTTGCAGTAAGAACTCTTTGACTACGATATCTTTCTTCAACGCTCCTTGTAAAGAACTCTGACCATCGGGCCGGTGGTCTTCCTGCAGAGCGTTTGACATCCCTAGGAATCCAGTCTCTAATAGCGCCTGTCCATCGGTTGTCTACTACACGTTTTACGTGTCCGGTTCACTCATCTTCGATAATTCGACGTGTAGAACTAGAGCATTCATTTTTGATCGTTAGCGTAGCTCAAAGGCTTCCACCCACTCCTCAGTTGCGTGATTCGGAATACTCATAACATCCCACTTTCGACTGCTCGTCTCTATATCACTGACTAAGCTGCCTTCCTGCTTACTTACCGGCTTCTTGACGCATACGGTGAGAAAGGAAGAATCGTGTAGTCGAAAATGTGAGCACGGAATCGAGTTAGTCGAACACCAATACTTCCACAAGCGTTATCAAAGTCGTCTAGTCTTTTTCCACTTGTCTAATGTTTAATGTTATAAGAACGATATCATCAGCAAAGAGAAGATATTGAAATTGCCGGTCACTGATTCTCACTCCCATATTGTCCCATTTCAACTTTTCCAAGACTTTCTCGAGAGAGGCGTTGAGTAATTTTGGCAAGATGGTATCGCTCTGGTTAACCCCTTTTTTACGCAGATGTTAATATTTCAATAGAGTGGTGATAACTCGAAACACCGACTTTCTATAAACCTCGGCATAGATGGTTGATATATTTATTTACATGTTCTTATAAACTGACGCTTAAGCTGACGCGACGTTGGTACAAGTCTTCGTTGTCGTTGTCGTCGTTTTTGATGTCGTTGGTCAATGGCTGACGTTTCGGCGACTTTACCTTCCTAATAGCATGGATGTGTTTTATATTAGAACAATTTTACTATTGGATGGGTGAAAAAAGGTTAAAGTTTTAATGAAGATCAAACTTTCAAATAGATGCCATATTGAACAGAAAGGCCACTCACTGTGATGTTACGTGTGGGACTGGCCACACGAAGTTCACGTGGGGCCGTGAGCAAGACACACGGCGAGGTCAAAATATCATTTTGAAATAAGGCGCCAGGTCACGCGTGATAGTGAGGCATTCGTCGTTCCGGTCCATCTTTGTATTTTCGAAATTTATCCAAAATTCCTCAAGAGTTTTGCGCGTTGATGTTCTCGATTCCTACGCTAGAATCCGGACAGTCACTTCAAAATCATCGCCGTTGTGCTTTTGAGCTCTATGCGTACCCAGAGGAGTGCTTAAACGGATTTTAGCTTTTCCATCTAGATGTTCTTTTATGCGGACACAAAGTGGTCTACCCGTTTCCCCAATATATTCCTCGCCGCATGCGTTACATGAGATCAAGTATATTATACCTAAACTCATGCAATCCCCGTCTCTCCCGTTAGGACAGATCATAGAGTTTTCTGAGCTGCACAAACGATCATAGAGACGGTTTCGAACTAACTGGCGGCGTAGGGTATTGGGTGGGATGTCAATAATCGTTACATAATTTTCAAGACCACTTTTTCTCAAGGACTTTTTTATGGCGTGACTTACTTTATTTGATATGAAAGGCAGCTTAAAGGAGATCTTACTTACGTCCAAAACATTATTTTGGGGAACTATCCTACGTTTTTGTCTAACCCGAGTGGCTTCTATTTCGTAGCCTTTGGAAGGTTCCAATGCCAGTTCACGGTAGGTTTTTCTCGTGTAAATTTTATATACTCTGACTGTCGGTTTAATAATTCAAAGCATTCATCCATCTGTTCTTGTGTGGAACAAACGATGAAGAAGTCGTCTATGTATCAACAGTAGAGTAAGGGTCGGTGATCGAGAACTGGAGCTTTCACCTTAGACATGAAAGCGTATTAAAACACATAAGCTTACTTCAGCTGATGATATTAAATCAACGAACCCATCATCATATAAAGTTAGACCTATCATCAGTTGCATAGGCGGGCCAATGGATAGAATAACGTGGTTTCTAAACCTTATCCTAACCCAGCTGCTGAAATTCATTCCAACCCATCTACCTAACACCAAAATATTTCTATATCATCTACGGCGCGCAGCCAAACAGCACGCATGTAATGGAGTCGTTCGATGTTACGTTACTTTATACCAAAGTGTCGAATGACTCCGCAATGCAAACCATTCTCGAGTTGCTCGTTGAGCATAAGAGAAAATAAAAATGTAGAGCTTGTCGATTGAGCAACTAATGACTCTCTTAAAACAGTGTCCTAGTTGCTCAATCTTTAGTTTATCTGAAAAATATTTTGCACAAATTAGAGGGTTGGCCATGGCGCAACGTTTAGCACCAGGCCTTGCCATCGCATTCATGTCTGAGGTGGAAGCTCCAGTTCTCGATCACCGACCCTTACTCTACTGTTGATACATAGACGACTGCTTCATCGCCTGTTCCATAAAAGAACAGATGGATGAGTGCTTTGAATTATTAAACCGACAGTCAGAGTATATAAAATTTACACGGGAAAAAATCTACCGGGAACTAGCATTGGAACCTTCCAATAGCTACGAAGTAGAAGCCACTCGGGTTAGACAAAAGCGTAGGATACTTCCCCAAAATAATGTTTTGGACGTAGGTAAGAACCCCTTTAAGCTACTCTTCATATCGAATGAAGTAAATCACCCCACTAAAAAGTTCTTAAGAAAAAGTGGTCTTAAAAATTATGTAACGATTATTGACATCCCACCCAATACCTACGCCGTCAGTTGTTCGAAACCGTCTCTATGATCGTTTGTGCAGCTCAGAAAACTGTATGATCTGTCCTAACGGGAGAGACGGGGTTTGCATGAGTTTAGGTATAATATACTTGATCTCATGTAACGAATGCGTTGACAAATGTATTGGGGAAAGGGGTAGACCGGAAGACCACTTTGCGTTCGCATAAAAAAAACATCTAGATGGGAAGGTTAAAACCCGTCTAAACACTCTTTTAGGTACGCTAGGCGCAAAAGCACAACGGCGATGATTTTGAAGTGACTGTCCGGATTCCAGCGCAGGAATCGAAAACATAAGCGCGCAAGACTCTTGAGGCGTTTTGAATAAATTTCGAAAATACAAAAATGGAGCGGAACAACGATTGCCTCACTATCACGCGTGACCTGGCGCCTTATTTCAAGATGATATTTTGACCCCGCTGTGTGTCTTGCTCGCAGCTCCATATGAACTAAGTGTGGGCCAGTCCCACATATAACATCACGGTGAGTGGCCTTTCTGTTCAATATGGCGCCTATTTGAAAGTTTGATCTTCATTAATACTTTAACGTTTTTTTACCTACCGAATAATAGAAATATTCTAATATAAAATACGTCCAGACTATGAGAAAGGCGAAGTCGCCGAAACGTCAGCCATCGACCAACAACATCAAAAACAACGACAACGACAACGAGGACCTGTACCAACCTCGCGTCAGCTTAAGAAGATCAGTTTATAAGAGTGGTGATACTTTCCTCAAGGAATATGTTTGTAGACATTGTAGGGGATACTATAGCGCTTGCAATTTAGCACCTGCTTGACTGTTCCGTTCTCAACTGAGTCAGAAGCAACTAAGATGATGCTGAGATATTTGCAAAACTCCGGACTATGGGTGTCTGCGGTTGGGAAAGAACGCGCTGTTGTCCTTTCCGGTGAGCAACGCGTTCATCACCACACCACCAGTGTCCTTCGTTTCGCCTGTTTCTCGGCTAGCTAGATTTGGACTCTCTAGATCAGTCTCATTGACATGTAATTGCTGACGGCGCCGATCAATAGAACTAGCCGAGAAACAGGCAAAACAAAGGACACTGATGGTGTGGTGATGAACACGTTACTCCCCGAAAAGGACAATAGCGCGTTCGCTCCCCACCACAGACACCTGTGGTCGGGAGTTTTGCAAATATTTCAGCATTATCTAAGTTGTATTTAACATGATACCCTGCCATAAAAAAAGCAGTAAAAAGTAAATAAAAAGGTTAAGGTTAAGATTGAGTCAGAAGCTTTCCTTAAATCGACGAACGTGAGAGAAAGCGTTCTCATGCACTCGCGCGATACTTCAATAAGTTTTGTTGTCATGTGGATGTGATCGATCTTACTGAATCCTTTTCGAAAGCTCGCTTGTTCACATGGCTCTCCTTGGTTCAGTGTTTTGCCAATCCATCCTGTTTAGGATGACTAGAGTGAAGAGGTTATGGATGACAGATATGAAGCAGATTGAGCGACAGTTTCCGACATCGCGAAAGTCACCCTTCTTGAACAATCATAAAGCCTTACTTGCCTTCCACTGAATAGGAACCTTGAATTGTGACAGGTGACGTGTGAAGAGCCAAGCCAGTTTGCTGAAGAGGACTGCTGCAAATTTATTTAGACGTTCAGGCCTTGTCCTCTCTAGGCTGGATGTTGTTCGATTCTTCACCAACGAAATGGCATGTCGGATTTCAGACGAAAGAGCATTTGGGATAACATATCCATCCTCTTTTATTTAGTACGAAAGCACCAGAACGTGACTATTGAGGAAATCTGACCAGTTAAGATTATTCGCGATTGTGAATGATTTTCCCCGCTATCATTCTGGAAGCTGCAACTGTTCCGTCTGGGCGTCGGAGTGCAATCATTTTTCCTTTGTAAATGACTAGGTTTCGGTGAGTTTTACGAATGCTCTTCCCATCCCCTGCGGATTCGACAAAAACTGCCTCTCTTCTTTTTTCAACATCTCCTTTCATCTTCAGTTTGCATTGTTTTCTAATCTAGCACGTAAGTTTCTAGAGACAGACGGCTTTTAGCGTTAATGATGATTGGTGATGACGTCAATAGTAACTACAATTCACTTTGGATTGTTCCCAAGTGTTCAGTTGCTCGTCACCAGTCATACCTCGCAAATCAGTTTTAAAACATTCGAAGTATCTGAAAGATGAAACAAAATTGTACAAAGTAAGTTCCTTTTTGCACCTTTCTACTTTACCATAAAATTGTTGCAGATTTTTCGTGCTCTCGGGATTCTTGATGTCGATGATGTTGAAACGAGAAAAACACGTAGGATTTCGAGAAATAGGGCATTTCTACTACCGTCGAGTGCGACGCATTTTGCCATCGTATCTTTTGGTTATTCTGCTCTCCTTGATCGCTTCTCGCTGTTTCCCTTTACGGTACTTGCAAGTCGACAACTTGAAATCTGCTATTCATGCCCTGATGTTCATCACAAACATCAAAGCCGCTGACAGTGTCCGAAATTATTTGAAAATGGTAAGCTCAACGAAAACAACAAGTGAGAGATAGTGTGAAAGCGTTTGAGTTTCACAATAACTAGTGAAACAGATGAATATTACTGGATTCAACCACTATGATCATTGTGGTTTCCAGGTGACGAAAGCGAGCGATCTCTTCACTCACACATGGTCGATCGCTTTAGAAATGCAGTTCTATCTCATATTCCCTCCCATTTTCGCAATCTACATGTCAATTCGTAGTTTTGTGGCTAATCTCGTTCTGATAACCATCGGTAAGAATTCACCATATACAGCTTTACTTGAATCTTAACCTTTTCATTTTCTGCCTACTCTTTTTAACGGCAGGGTATTTTCGCGGAATATAACTATTATAATGCTGAGATATTTGCAAAACCCCGGACCGCAGGTGTCTGCGGTGGGGAACGAACGCGCGCTATTGTCCTTTCCGGAGAGTAACACGTTCATCACCACACCATTCGGGTTCTTCGTTTCGCCTGTTTCTCAGCTAGTTCTACTGATCGGCGCAATCAGCAATCACCCATCAACGGGACTGATCTAGGGAGTCCAAATCTAGCTAGCTGAGAGACAGGCGAAACGAAGGACCCGCATGGTGTGGTGATGAACGCGTTACTCCCCGGAAAGGTCAATAGCGCGTTCGTTCCCCACCATAGACACCTGCGGTCCAGAGTTTTGCAAATATCTCAGCAACGTTGTGGTTGTATTTCGCTTAGTACCCTGCCGCGAAATTATAGTAGGCAGAAAATAAAAAGGTATAACAGTTTTGTTTGAGTTTTATTTGTTAGCTCCTGAGAAAATTAATCTCGGATTTCAAACTCTATTTTCAAGATGAAATATTCTTTGCTCAGAATAAACTTTACTAATCGTAGTAAAAACTATTAGAATCTACACGATTTTGTACAAGAAAAAAGTTTAGGATTTCCAATTGCGTCAAATACTTAAGTTCTGAAAGCAAGAAAGACCGTTGAACGCTTTCGGCCCTGCTTCTCAGCATTTTCTCTTATAGAAAGTTATCAAGATTCACGACGATGTAGTAGTCGTTAAGCAAGAAGACTGGCGAGCATGCTGGGCGATCCAGAGTTTCGTAGCCCAGTCGGTTCAAGATTTGCTCAGTCGGTAGTACGATGGGTGGGCGCTCATTTTCACTTAAAGAGGAGCTGTGATCGATGAAATCATCTGTGGACCATTAAACGGTCAGCATGACATTTTTGGTGCAATTTGGAGTATGGAAGGCACGGCACAGCTATATCGCTGAAAAGCTGCTGAATCGATCCTTGCCATTAACATAGTGGGGTATTCTTTCTGTTACATCCTATAATGCCGTCGAAAAACGGGTCGATTTGCTTGCCCAAGAGAGATGTCCACGATATTTCGAAGATAAAACTTCTTTATTTGTCGTTCAATTCGTGTAACACCTCTTTTTTTTAATAACACTGTTTGTCAAACCTCTTCGACTTTATAATTTTTTTTGACGTTATAAAAGAAGAGAAAGGATACAAATGAGTTTTCCGCATGTTCTTGCACGGTTGTGTGTGCATTTGCCTCCATCAAACATTTCAAATGGACACCGTGAATAGCAGTAAAGCGTCGGCGATGTCAATTATCTTTAAGGGTGAATTCGCTGCGAAGAAATTTTCCAAACCAACGCAGCAATGGATTCGTTAACGCGTTTTTGACCCCATAGCTCGTTAATGTCTCAAGCTGTGTGCACTACTACTCCTGGTAAAAGTTTGTGAGGTTAATGTCGTGAACCGTTGAATGCTTGCTCTTGTGGAGCAGGTCAAAAAAGAAACCAAATCCTGTGAAACATTTAAGAGCGCTCATAAAAATGCTCCACTACCTGGTACGATTAAGGGGAATGAGATCTCTATCAACTGTCACAAATCATCTGTATAACCTGTAGTCCTGTTGATCGTCGAGTGACACGAGCGACCGCTAGTAAACCTTCCATTTTTCCCTGTCTTGCGCAAGAGTAGCCCAGTGGTTTCCGCTCGCCCTAGGAACTCGTCGAGCATTAAATCTTTCTTCAAGGCTTTTCGTGAAGAACTCTGACCATCGAGTCGGTGGTCTTCTTGCAATACGCTTGACATCCCGAAGAATCCAGTCACCAACGGTTTTTGTACATCGGTTGTCGTTCATACGCATTACGTGTCCTGCCAACCTTATCTTCGACTGTTGCATGTATAGAAGAGAATTTTTGATTTTTGATCGTTGACGCAGGTCGGAGCTTTGGATCACTTCCCATACAGCATGACACGGGATATTCCTAGCATCGTTCTTTCGACTACACGTTCAAAAATGTTGAGTGATTTTTCATCCTGTTTACGTAGCGACCAGGTTTCTAACGCATACGTTAATGCAGGAAGTACCATTGAGTCCTAAAGGTGGGCACGAAGTCGGGTGTTCTTTGTACTGTTCACTACATGCTAGATGATTTTGAGAGCACCCGAGCCACTTGTTTCCTTCTGCTCAGCTCTGGAGCCAATTTCATTCATGTTGATTTCCAGACCCAGATAGGCATAACTGGAGCATTCGAAGATATTCGTTCCGTTGAGCGTGAATGGGGCATACGAAACCAATCTGTTCCTCATGAACATCGTTTTTGTGAGAATTAGTAGAAGACCAATCTTTCCACAGGCTTTACCAAAGTCGGCAGCATATGTTCTGGATGGCCAATGTTCAAGGACGATGTCATCAGCAAAGCGAAAATAGTGTAACTGCCGACCATCGATTTTCACCCGCACATTTTCCTATTCCAATTTTCGCATGACGTTCTGGTGGGTGGCGGTAAATAAATTTGGCGAGATGGTATCGCCGTGCCTAACCCCTATTTTGACGTCGATGTTAATATCGTTGTTGAATGGTGATATCTTAATTGTTAAATTTTTGTAAAGCTCATGAAGAATCTTTATGTACTGAGTGGGGACTCCTCGACCATCAAGTGCTTCCATGTCTACCTCTATCTCATTTGAAACAAAGGCCTTTTTTAAATCGATGGAAGTGAGACAGAGCGGTCTTTTGTACTTTCGCGATACTTCAATGAGTCTTGCTTTCTTATGGATATGGTCCATCGTACTAAATCCTCTTCGAAATCCTGCTTGCCCACAAGGCTGTCCTTCGTTCGGTGTTCTGTCAATCCTATTTAGGTTGACTCCAGTGAAGAGTTTGTAGACGACAGATAGCAAGCAAATTGGGCGATGGTGGTCGATATCGTGTAGATCACCTTTCTTGAACAATAACACAGTCTTGCTGGTCTTCCACTGAGTAAGAACCTTGCGTTCAGACATGTAACGTCTGAAGAGCCGAGCCGGTTTGTTTACGAGGACTGGCAGAAGGTTATCCAGGTGTTCAGGTCTTACCTCATCCTGACCTGATTTTCTTCGATTTTTCACCGACGAAGTAACACGGCGGATTTTGAAAGGGAGAGCCGCTGGTACGACATATTTATCGCTCTTATTTCGTATGAGGGAAGGAGGATGTGGCTATTAAAGTGATCTGAGTAATAGTCATAAGTGATTTTCTCCATTGCGCTTCTGGATGCTGTAAGTGTTCAGTCTCGGTGTCGGAGCGCAACCATCTTGGTCTTGTAATTGGTGGAGGTTCGGTGCGCTTCGCGAATGTTTTTCCCTGCCTCTGCAGCTTCGGTCAATACTGCTGCTTTTCTCTCTCTGAGATCTTCTTTCATCGCCTCTCTGCATTGTTTTGCAAGTTCGGACGTTAGTTGACGATTGCCTGCAGCTCCTGCGATTCCACGCTGGTGTATCAGCTCGTCTGGAGGCGGACGTCTCTTGGTGACTTTCGAACTCTGAGCTTTCATAGCGTTAGCCTGAAGATGTTGAATGAGCCGATCGTATTCTTCATCGATGTCATCGACAACGGCATCTTTGCAACAGTCCACTAATCAATTGAATAAGACCCAGTTTGCGGTGGTTCTAGGACCTCGGTTTTGGAAATTAGCGGTTTTTTCCCCGTTCCGCGAAAAATAAAATGTTGCACGAAGGAGGCGATGATCGGATCTCGCGTAGAATTTTGAGACAACAGCGACATTGGTTAGACAAAACCTTCTATTTACTATGATGTGGTCTATTTCGTTATGGTACTCTCCATTGGGAGACTCCCACGTGCAGCGCTGAATGTAGGGCTTCTGGAATTGCGAGTTACTATGGATGGTCTTGGTCTCCATGATAAACTCAGCCGCTTACCCTGTTCGTTCCATTCTAATCTGTGGGTCCCAATGTGACGTTCTTCAAACTTTTTTTTTGGTCCAATCTTGACGTTAAAATTTTTAGCGACGACCTTAAAGAAAATATGATCTCCTCTGTAGAACTTTTCCAAGTCCATATAGAACGCTTCAAGTTCTTCTTCGTCATACTCTGACGTCGGAGCGTAAACGACGAAGATTGCCAACGCCGAAATTGATCCACGTCTTTTTAATCGAAAACGTCCGATTCAGGTTGTAAGTTATTCGAATGAATCAATGTTCATGGACAAACTTGTGTTGACGAGAACGCCGACGCCGCCGACTTTACTGTCGCATGTTCCGCGGAACAGTTCTTCTTCAGTGTTATAGACGGCGTTGAAAGGCCGGTGTCTTCTCGTCTCGGACAAGCCGATGACGTCGTACCCTATTTTTCTTGCTTGAATGAGCAAGTCTTCTATCGAGAACTCGGATGCAAGTGTACGTGCATTGTAGATACAGATCGTCACCATAGTTCTTTGAAATCCAGGTAGCTTCCATTGGCTCTGAGATTTTAGCAGCCTATCCGTACTCGTCCTACCCAAAGATGCGAAATTGGGTGCTCCTTCAGGGTTAAGAAAATGAGGCCCGTCTTTTTTTTCTGTGTTTAGCATTTTTGATACCCACGTATAGCTTGCTGGGCTCTGAACGTGAAGCTGAGTATACTCACGGGCAGCTTGCCAAGCTTTCTCAGAGTGGACGTGGTGCTTATTTGTTGGAGGCGTCTCCTAATCGCCTCTCATGTACTTCTCTGTCACTTGATTGTAGGCTTTTCGCCGAGTTGAGCCGTAGATTACAATCAGCTTAAGCGAAAACGAACCTACACACACATGCATAAATATGTTTCTCAAATACAGAAAGTACGAGCCAAACGGGCGCAGTAGAAGCAAGGGGGTCCATTCCCTGGATCCATCTGCGTCTCTGGGAAACATACGGTTGCTTTCGGTTCGCGATCAACCCCCTTCCGCGTGGCCTGGCGACTAACTGGGTTGTGATCCCTCACATGTGGGACCGACATAAATGGTAAAATTATTATTCTTCTACTGAACTCGTTTTTCACATCCACTATGCACATCGCAGTACTTCGCGCATTCCATTTGTTTCATCGCGTCCATGAATTAAGAACGTCTTCCAACTTTTTTACTCGTGGCTGTGGCTACTGCTTGAGGATACTCAATGTCGTATAATTCTGGTCTAGTCGATCATTTCTGGTGTCTCCATCTAGCAGGGTTAGTGCGTTCCCACTTGAACTTCAGAGTGTAACAAAATTGGTGATGAAAAATTTTGTAAAATGAAAAATGTGAAAAATTTGAGTGTAAAATCGTTTCACACAGTTAAAAAAGCACTCCAAATTCCTCCTTTTCTCTCTTCAACTTTTTAAGGCATTGAATCAGATGTGTTTAGCTCAACAACGTGAGCACACGAACAACATGCAACCGATGCTAAGAACCCTAATTTTTGAGCCATCTTTAAGCTACGCTAAAACCTTAGTGACGTCGAAAATTTTACGCACCACCGCAGAGGACCCCAAAAA